AAGTGCTCGGAGGTAAACGCTTCGTAAATAAACATCGCAATTTATTTTGAAACCAATCGTGGTATTATTATATACGCATGGTACTAAATGTATAAAACTGCAAAAATCAGTTGCAATCGCAATGTTCAATCGGAACGACACAATCTATCAATCACACGATAAACATTATATGTAGAGGAGAGAAAAAAGAAGAAGAGAACGTGACAACATTAAAGAAGACTATCGATTAAATAATAGCATTTACTATATATCGTTCGCCAATTTCTGTCTGTTGAAACTGTGAAACAGGCTGAGTCTGTCAATATCTCAGCGTTATACACGAGACAGTCATATAAATATACGATTACTCATTCACGTTATATAAAACAAATATACTTTTTTTACACGCTCGACATAGAATTTGTACCAGTAACACGTCGCAACAATAAATATACTGTACGTCTATATATGTGCGTGTGTATATAATATATACATAATATTTATATGCATATTAAAACATTCATAAAAAATATGTATCTCTTGTGTGATCGTCATTTTTCTCGGTTTTTCTTTTCTTTTCTTTTCTTTTTTTTTCTTTTTGTTCTTTTTTGGCCACACCGAAAGTTCACATGGATTTACGCGCGGTCCCGTTGATTAATTCCTGAGGAGTTTTCGATTCCTTTTCGGTTGCTTCCTTGTGCGACGGGATTTTCGGAAGACGTGGTGCGATCACTAGTAAAGCTAAACCGATTATATGTGGGAACAGGTATACATACCTGGAAAAAAAAGAAGACAGACGTACGTCGTTACATTAAAATTATATTACTATATAGGTCAAGATCGTATAGATATAGATCGAATTTCCACGAAATCCAACCAAAGAAGTGAAAATTTTTCTTATTCTCTAAATACTGCAATCGGGGGAAAAACTTTTGGAAACTTTCTGCATTTTCGCATAGTTGAAATTTCTCATGAATCCGTAAAAGCCCACGGTCTAATTGTAAAACACGGAGGTATTATATTACGTACAGGTACATCGTAACACTTGGCATAAATTCCAAGAGTATAAAGCTGAATGTCATATAGGCCATTAACAATCGCGTTGTAGTGAACGTAAGCGCATCGTACAGGAACTTCATTCCCTTGGACCCTAAGAAGTATGGTCGTATGTTACGGCGAGCCTGTTTCAAGATACAAAGAAAAGTTTGTTAATAATAACAACAACAAGCCAATAATTAATAAATTATTCGTTGTTTGATGTGACACCGTTTTTTACTTACAACGCGTGACGCCACGGTAAAAAAGGCTCCATTGGCGAATGTTAAATAGTAACCAGGATAAAAACCGTGCCACAAGGCAGAAAGAGCGTACGTGAACATAACTTTATTTTGCTTTACTCTTTCATACACAATCGACCTAAGCCACCTATTGGTTCCTTTGTTCCAGTGCTCGATACTGTCTCTCAGATTGAGGGACATCTGAAAAATAAATTTAAAATTACTCCATAAATTCTGACTCGTCTAAGCCATATATTAACAGTGAATCGATAAATTGAACGAAGACCGCGGAACGACAGATGAATGAAGTTACTCTTAGGTCTTGTACGATGAGCAGCTTGATGGATTTTTAAGTGATGTCGTCATTGCAGTGCAGAGCGTTAAAGATTCTATCAACATCACTGACATCATCTTTCTTACTCTATTTCTTTTTTTTTTTTTATTATTATCTCAAATTAAGGAGTAGATAAATTAAATTTGGCCAAAATTAAATCGCGTGCCAAATTTGATCCATCATTGATTCCTACGATGATTGTAATCAATTTAAGAGATTTACTTACCTCGAAGCCGTAAACGTCAACGTTAGAAGCTAGATCCCACTTGGGTTCACCGTTGTCGTCATAACCGCTAAACCCAAACCCGGAATTATTGCAAATGGCGTCGGCGAAGATCCACGCGTGGTAATACTTAAAACGAACTAACATAGTGGTCACCATGAGGTACCACATCTTGTAGAACGCCGTGGTGTTCTTCAGAAAGTCGTCGTCTGCGAAAATAAAATGAAGCGTCGCTCAGCGTTCGCCCGCGGCGATAAATTATTAAAATAGACAACGTACGAGCCGAACCTTTTAGCTTCTGAATCGGATACGTTGGAATGAAAGTCACGAACATAGCCGCGCACAATAAGCTCACCACGACCTTTTTTATTACGACCGGTGCCGGTGATGGTTCCAGGACTATTTCGTCATAGTGACCGGAATTCTTGTCGCAACCCTTGAAAAGAATACAAAGGACATGAAACTTTTCTCGCTCCTTTTTCTCATCGATTCCATCGTTTCTTCTATTTTTATACGGGCGTATGTATAGACACACATGCACATACACACACACACACACA